TTTACAATTTATAAATTTTTAAGTCGGAATGTTTAGCCAGCTGTGTGTTCCTTCTAGACTATTAGTTGAAGCTGTATGCCGTCAGTTCTCCCTGAGATTTGCAATCTCACTTTGACCTAATTATCTGAGTCAAAGCACTGTTATTTGGGCATTCTTATTATTTTTCACTCACTCAGCAGCTTCCTCCACCATTTTTTTTGGTGTGAAATAGCGATGATGTCAGTGTAACATAACTCCTTCCATAGCCTTGCCATCTTGTTTTGATCCTTCTTTGGCAAGCTGCTATAGTGAAATCCCTGAAATTACAAATGGATCTGCTGCTGGCCGTTCATGTTTCAAGCCAATTGATTCTGAATAAAGTTGTCTTGAAGTTACATTAGGCAACAAGGAATTTCTGATTCTGCTATTGATCTGCTATGTAGTGTGAGACTCATGATATCAGTCACTGGTGCTTTGCTTTTCTCTTCCACAAGAACAAAACTCTTAAAAATGAGCTGAGGGTCACAGATTAAAGACGTTTTATGAGCATTAAGACGCAGACTCTGCTGCCTTCATTATGTATTCTCTCACCCCATGGTGAAAAATAGATTCATTACTCCTTCAGTAATACACCATTCAACATGATGGACTCAAACATAACCCGATTACTAGAACATCAGCTTTGGTCAATGTGAATCTTCTGTCTCTTGCCCATAAACTTTATTTCTGAGTAGCTGAAACATAAAATCGATCTGTTCTTTAAGCCAATCGTAACTCAACAGATCATTAATGACAAATGGCAGAATGCCCCAGCCATCCTTCCAGGCAATACTCCAGATGGAAGTCATTGGATAAAGAACAGGAAGGTTTGGCAGAATGTGAAAAAAGAATAAATTTGCTACACATCACTCATTTTGCCTGACTGCAATAAAGTAATTGTAATAGAATGTTGTCACAGGGTAATGGTCTCCTGCTGCTTTAGAAATGCTTTGCAAAACAGATGTTTACTTTCTCTGTGGGAGACGTTGATCCCGGGACAACAATCTTTTCTATTAAAGGAAAATTAAGTACTTATAGGTTCAGCAGTACTATAAAAAGATCATTATAAAAAAGCCACATAACGTAATAGGTAAAATGATATGAAATACATATGTGATGTATGTGATATATAAAACTAATCCCTAAGTGGGATTAATTGAAATAGTTTCTTCCAGCACCCTGTGACTGACTTACATTTTCTCAACAAATGCAGATAGGACAATGAGATGCACTATGATGAAGTTGGTTTTGTTATTTTAATTTTCCAACTGCAGAAAACCAGCATTTGTAAATAAAAATAATAACATCAAAACTCTATCATATAATGTCTGATGAGAAATGCTTACTTAGTAACAGATAGATTAAAATAATGAATAAATAACACTAAAGTAACGTGTTGCAATTAGTGGAAATTAAAGACCATGCATTTTCTGTCAGGGTTCAACTCAGTATTGTGACTTGCTGACTAGAACCAAGACAAAAATGTGAAAGGAGATATAAATTTATAAAACATTTGTGCATTTCAAAATAATTTTCTTAGAAGAGCAATTATACATTAGGGATTGTAAAAGGAAAATATTCTTATTTTGCTCTGAACTGTCTGCAATACATGTGGGGGACATAAATTGCACTCTGTTGTAGTGTGATAGAAGAGTTACATAGGCATTGCTTTGATGAACCTCATACATTTTACAGGCATTTCTGCTATTCATCCCGTAAGGTGCCAGCTGCAAATTTGGGCTCATGAGACATGTATAGAGGAAGAACATTTGTTCTCTTACGTGCTGTAACTGTCTATGTCTATGTGCTGTCACAGGCACTTGACTGTCAGATGAAGAAACCCTCTGTGGTATTTAGCTTTTGCCAAAGTTGCATCTGGATAACAAGGAATAAAATACGAATAATTAACCAGGGACTGAACGACTTGTTGGCCTCACCAAACTCACCTCCAGGACCTGCATCATCTTGGATCTTCTGCTGTCCATTTCTATTCAGCTCAAACCATCTTGTGATGGTGTTTGGTACTTTTCCAGCTGGTGCCTCTATCCAATTCCATGTATTTTATACCATGAATCCCAAACGGAGTTGCATTATGCAGATTACCAACATCTTTTCAACTGGACCAGGTGGATATCAGCCTTGCTTCCATAAGTTTTAAAGGTCATAGCTGAGCCAGAGAATAGCAACACTGAGTCCTTCAACTCAGTGCTTCAACTGGAAGAATTGAGACTTGAAGCCCTAATGGCATTTTTCACTCTGTGTGGTGAACTTCACTATGTTGATGCTAAAGGAAAATGTCTTTTATATTCTTGAGAAAAGTTGGTTTGGTAGAGGAGTGCATTCAGTTATAATAATCCTGATCTCAGGAATAGTCACTGAAGCAAAGCATTTCTCTTCCCATTTCAAGGTCAACACATTACAGACATAAAAGGAATATGGCCATGAGGGGCGTGAAGAAAGCAGCTTTTAATGCTGCAAAGGGAACTCAAATGCTAATGATTAGTTGCACTGGGAAGTGCTACTTTAAAGTTTAAGAAAATGAGGAAACCAAAGGCTTAAAAAGTGTCAGTTTTGTCATCTTGAAACCGTTTTTCCCTAGTGCTGAATAAAATGCAAATATGCCCACAAGCAAGTTGCTTACCCTACAGCTGAAGAACTGCACATGGAACCAGTTGACACTTCAGTATTTTAGCAGTTTAGACTTATAAATATGTATTTGCATTTTCAACACTAAACTATGTGGCTCTTACCCAGTTGTCACTGTCGCTGCATCAGCCAGGGAACCAGTGGAAGTTTCCTTCACTGAGGACTGTACGACATGGTCTACGAGAAGGAAATGAATTTAATGGAAACTGAAGCATGTGAAGAAAGTTAACATCTTAACACCCCTGAGCTAGGAATAGTGTTAAGCACTAAAGGACCCCTTCCAGACCCTTAATTCCTGAGCCTCCTCTATGGCAGGAACTTGGACTGAGGGCAGGCAGAATAACTGCCTTGTCTCTCCACACTCAGGTACTGATGAATATTGTTATTCACTAGAGGAGGAAAGACAGAGAAGGACAATGGATCTGGAGGGTCATGTGTCAATTAACTTTCAGGTGAAGTTACGTCTGATTCCTGTCCTAGGGCTGCTGAGGGCATCACCAGGACTGCAAAAAGCAAGTCTCTGCATCCCGACTGTGCTATTCAATAAGGCACCAGAAGGTAGTATGGACTAGTCCAGCTTTATTAGACATCCTTTCAAGCTACAGGCTCCAGGCCCCAGAAATTTAAAAAGTATGGCAAGACAAAAGGGGATTCATTGCTTCTCTTACTCCACATGTATTCCTATAGGGAAAAAAAAATAATAGAAACTGAGTGACCCAAGAGAAGCAGGGATGATGACACTGAAGGCAAAGCCCTGGCAAAAGCTGTTCTGCCCTACTTAAAAGCAGCATGCTCAGCCATAAATCTGTGCCCCTTCTGAAAGCACACACATGGTTTGTGCTGCCTAGGGCCATACTCAAAATCTCCTTCATACCTGTGGATATCTTCCCAGTTTCTCCAGCAGGTTCTTGCTTAGGCTGCACTCAGACATTTAACAGGATAAAGGTGTAAAATATAAGTACAGTGAAAAGGTAGAGTAAAAACTATCTTAAAATTGATGACTTTCAAAATAAGTGTTGTTTGAATGAAGATAAAGTAATGACAAGCTTGACTACCTTGTAGGAGTCAAGGTAGGTAGGACAAACCACTACAGCTGAGATCACATTTCCTTGGAGCCTTTTGCGGAGAAGGACCAGTGGGGTTACCAGTGGGGCCACGAAACTCTCAAGGTGCCTTTAAACTGACAGCATGGGTACGGAAAGTTGGGAAGGCGACACCTTGCATTTTCTTCAAGGGTGCCACCCTATGCCCAAACTCCTCTGCTTTGTGTCCTCCCTCCCCCTACTTTCACCTTTGCCACGGCTGCAGCACAGGGCTGATACAGGGGAATGAATTTACTATATTCTTTTCTTTTTATTCGGCTGTGACCTGCAATGGCAGCGGCGCTGGCGCAAAGACCAGAAAGAACTTTTCTCTTTTCTCTCCCCAAACTGAGGGCAGCAGCTCGCCGTTACAGATTTTTAAAATTTTTTTGTTTGTTTGTTTGTTTTTGGGATTTTTTTGTGGTTTTTTTCCTCCCCCCCCCCTAAGCTCCAGCTTCCCGAATGCCGTTGGGAAAAGTTGGCTGGCGGTGCGGGGCCTGGGGGGAGGGAGGACGGGTTTCCCCCGCCGCCCCCCCCGCCCGCAGGGAGCTGTCCAGCACCGCCGCCGGACGCCGGGGCCGGGGCTCCCGCACCGGGCGCTCCCGGGGCTCCCTCCGCCGCTGCCCGCGGAGCC